TCGTCCATCCCTTCCAGGGTGGCGACGAACGTCTTATGCATCACGATCGGCCCCTCAGCGCCATCGTGTCCGGATTCACGGTTCGGCTCGCCCATTCCCTCCAGGATGGCGACGACCGTCTTATGCAGTACGATCGGCCCCTCAGCGCCATCGTACCCAGCTCACGTTCAGCTCGTCCATCCCTTCCAGGGCGACGACGAACGTCTTATGCATCACGATCGGCCCCTCAGCGCCATCGTGTCCGGATTCACGGTTCTGCTCGCACATTCCCTCCAGGATGGCGACGACCGTCTTATGCAGTACGATCGGCCCCTCAGCGCCATCGTACCCTCACGTTCAGCTCGTCCATCTCTTCCAGGGTGGCGACGAACGTCTTATGCAGCATGATTGGCCCCTCGGTGGCATCGTGTCTAGTTCATCTTCGGCTCCGCCCATGCCGCACCGGATGGGGGAACCATCTTATGCAGCACGTCTGCCTCTCGGCGCTGACATGCCCGGTTTATCGATGAGAGCCACCGCTTTCTATCACATCTCACATTCCTTCTCTCATACATTGCACCCATACATTACATGCATTCATGCATCATACCTCATACATTCATACATACACACGTGCATCATGTTTTGACAGTACCGCGACGTCGGTTTATAGATGCATGGACCTCTAAGCTTCTCCGATTGGAAAGCTCGAGTCAGAGTCCTTTACTCCCGCCTGATGCATTCAGGGGGAGTGTGCCCGTGGAGGAGCACCCTTCGCCCGACCCCGTCGGGAAGGGGGTGCCTCACCGGCAGATTACGTCCATGAGTGCAGACACCCACTCATATATTATGATTATTCGAAGACACAATTTCCAGCAAGACAGAGGAAGAGCGCAGACAAGAGTATATTTTCTCGAGCAGATTCGCACGCTCACTACTCAAGAAACTGGGGGACTTGTGTTGGGATATATTATCCCGACCTATTACTGTTCAGGAGCCCAAGACATTACTCACTACGGAGCCCGAGCAGCTAGACCCATTTCGGCCCATCCGACCCACTTTAGCCATTTCGGCTCGCTTCGGCCCACATGGCCCATTAGGGTGGAGAGCATCCCCTCCCCCTAGTCTCTATAAATATGGGAGCTTCCCTCCATATGAGGGATCCCTTCTTCTTCTCCCTCCTTCTTAGTTAGCTTACAAGACTTCATTAATGGGAGTTCAAAATGTACTATGTAATGGTGAGGAGAGTCCTAATGAGAAAGAGAGGGCTTGGACATTAGCCTAAAAAGTCCCGTGGTTTTCTCCCTTTCGGGTTTCCACGTAAAAACTGAGTGTTCATACATATATTTACTATATCGTGTTGGATTAAACTCAACAATATATATATATATATATATTCAAAAAAAAAATCTATTTTGAATATTTATAAATAGACTCCTATAACTTTTAATATTTGTAAATACACCCCCATAACTTTTAATATTTATAAATATGGCCCCGTGTCCGTATCCTACTTTTTTTGGTTTTGACGTATCCCCGTACCTGTTTCCGCGTTTCCGCATTTCCGCGTACCGGTATCGGTGCTACATAGACTGCAGAGAACCGGTCTGCAACCCCACTTCAGTCCAAGAAACATTAAATAGGATTCGTCATCTTTTGCCATCCAAGAAACACCTTACCGCGTCTTATGTGTATTTCCCCTCTGTAAAGTTTTTTTTATAGTTACCAACCCTAGCAGTAGAATTGAGGCTATAAATATAAGCCATGACGTTTTCATTTTCTAATACAACGTTTCCATTTAATCAATTTTGTCCAAAAAGGTTAGAGCCGAATAACTATTTACCCCCACAACGTTTTCATTAAAACGTTACAATCTCCATTGTTTAGCTGAAAACCCATTTTTGGAATACCCTAACGTCTGCTCGCTATCGATCATGTGTTTCTAGGGAAAAGTTGATAGAAGAGAAGAGTAGAGGTGGGCACGGTCCGGGATTTGGCTTATCCTGATCTCGTCCCGGTTTTATAACAACGGTCCGGTACGGTACGAGATAAGTCGTTATCCTAATGTTGTCCCATTTAACGGGACCGGGACAACCCGAGAAAAGCCGGGACGGTTCGGGGTGTCCCATAAAATATGTATTTGTGAAATGTGATATGAAAATAAGCATAACATAAAATAAAGACGTAATTATTTTTGTAAATTTAGCTTCCCTAAAAAGTTAAGTAGTAAAACCTTTAATCAACTATTTTTTAATTTTTGTCTAGTGAATTTTTTTGGTCCCCCTAGTAGAATAGATGCGCGAAATATTTTTATACTTTGTAGTACACTTGTAATTTTCCAATACCACATTGAATTAAATATCATATCTATAAAGACACTATATATATATATATTCTAGTAGTTATTTTCGAAAATATTAAATCTATAACAACACTATAATTTGTAGTAGTAGTTATTCCATCATAAATAGTACTTCGCACGTAATAATATATTATGAATTAGTATTGGAATGAAAACAAAACAAATTTTAATCAAAAGAAATGAGGCTAAGAGAGACATGAAATAAGATAAAGTTACACTAGGGAGACTAAGGACTAGAAAGTATTAATTGTGTTTGACTATTACATATCATTAGAAATTTAAAATAACATATTAATTTCAAACGGGACACCAGGACGGGACATGATATTTTATAGCTATCCCGGTCTCGTCCCGGTTAATATCGGTGCGGGGCCGGTTCGAGATGAAAAAATTGTGTCCTAAATGAATCGGGATAGTTTCAGAACGGTATCGAGATTTTTCGGTTTGGGACACCGAGACCGGGATTTTTGCCCACTCCTAGAAAAGAGAATAGAGTCGGTCCAAGGAATTTGCTATAGGTACCCCATAGTTACCCCATTCCCTACCCCATATAAATACTCTCCTTTTTTACCATCACTTTTACCCCTTTCCAAAACTCTCTCCCCCTCCCCCACTTTTCTTCTCCTTTCCTCCCTCTCTCCTCCATCTTTTCTTTTCACGCATCCCCCCATTCCCTCCCCTTTCTTTCTCTTTTCTCCAAATCTTGATTTCTTCTCCATTTCAAGATCTCTCCCCATCAAGTCTTCTCATTTTTACAATCTTTTCTCCCTCCAAGCTTCTTCTCCTGCTTCTCTCCTCTTCTGCCTTTTTTTCGTTTCAAATGGAAGAGCTACAGTAATCGGACGAAGGGGAGAGCTCGGTGACGTGGGGAGACAACGGCGAAAGTGCAAATCAAGAAGCTTCGAATGACTTGAGCAGATCTAATTTTCTTGATTTTTTCATTTTTTGGTGTGTTTTCGAAAAAAAGGGTTGTCTTTCCTTACAGACAACTTGTAAGTGTAGTGTCTGTATTTGTTAGTCTAGGAGAAGAGTATGTTGTTTTTTGTCATTTGTTTGTATTTTGTTTGACGGACAGACAATTTGGAACTGCAGTGTCTGTCTAGCATAAAGTGAACGTGGTTTCATAGTTGCTAGAAGTGAACGTGGTTTTATAGTTGTTAGAGTCGTACATAAAATGTGTGTGTGGTCAGACAACTTTAAATGTATGTGATTTTGTTTGGAAACATGGTTGTATTGGTAATGTAGTTTTTATATAAATGTGTGTGCCTTTTATTGAAACATGGTTGTATCGATAATGTGAAGACAAATGTGGTGAATGAATTACATATGTAGTCTTTACAAGGAGAAGAGTAGGGTTTCCTGTTAGAATAAGGATTACTCTCTGTTTTACAGCCAGACAAATTTTGTCTTGGCCAGACATTAGTAGTCTGGGACAATTAACTACTCTCTGTCCTATAGCCAGATAAATTTTGTCTTGGCCAGACATGGGTAGTCTCGGCCAATTAAGTACTCTTTGTCGTATAGCCAAACAAATTTTGTCTTGGCCAGACATTAGTAGTCTGGGGCACATTCTCCCGACTTGTAGACAGACAACTCAGAAGAAAGGCTAGACATTTTATATCTCATTACAGACAATTTGTTGAAATACATTGGTAGAGAAGTCAATTCCCATGACAGATAACTACAACCCAATTTTAATGAATTCCAAACAACGTGCAAGACAATTCAAATGGGTTGCCTGAGAACTAATTTTACCTGACAGACAACTACAAAACTATTTTCTACAATTCAAAATAAACTGACAGACAATTCAAATGTCTTGCCAGACAACTACAAACCAATTTTAAACAATTGGATTTAACGTACCAGACAACTAATATGCCTGCCTTGCCAGACAACTACTTTCACATGACAAACAACTATAAACCAATTTTAAACAATTCAAAATAAATTGACAGACAACTCCAAACCAATTACATAATATTCAAAATACCATGACAGACATCTCAATATCATCACGAAGTAGTCTAATTATACACAAGTACTTCATAATTTCACCAGACAGACAACTATTTTCACATTACAGACAAATCAAATGGAATGCCAGACAACTCTTTTCACTAGAATTTGAAGCTAACAGATCTGAACCAAAGCTAACAGATCTGAACCATCACAGGTATGTTTCGAAGTTATGGTCGCTGGAATTTGAAGGTTTTGAACTGAAATTACAGGTTGGTGGAGAAAGTGTGGAAGGTTTTAAATATGGCCGGCACTGAAATTACTGGGACAACGGTCAGGTGTCGTCGGAGAAGATGACCGGCTTGCCGGGCATCAGTTCCTCCTGCCGTTACGTAGTCCGGCTACTGTTAGATCTCCGCTCCTGCTACCTTGCCGTTGCCGCTGGGGGTCGCCGGGGCCTGACGCCTGACGGGGGTTTGGCTGGTGTCCGGCTGGGTTTTCCGACTTCCCACCGGAGCTGCTTGGGTGTTCGCCGGAACCAAGCGGGGGGCTTAATTGAGGGAGATGAAAGGGAGATGAAAGGGAGAGGGGTTGGCTGGAAAAGGGAGATGAAAGGGAGATAAGGGGGAAGGAAGATGAGGGAGTGGGGGTAAATTTTTGGGAGGGTATTTATATGGGGTAGAAAATGGGGTAAGTATGGGGCAAATTTCGTCGGTCCAATGTCGGTCTCTCCTGGCTTTCTTTCTCTCTCTCCCGCTGGCAACAATCAATCTTTCAACATTTTGGCACCAAGTTCTACCGTAATTTGCTGTTTCCGAAAATTGGTGCGCGGCATTAACAAAAATCAATAGTTTAATTAATTAATATCGAAATCGGGAAAAAAATCCACTCTTCTTCACTGACCGGCCATATATGTGGATGGGGTGCAGCAGTTAGTTCCCAGGCAGTTTAAATAAATACATAAACAGATATACGACGGACGTATCGCCTCTGAACTCAAACTCTTGCTTGCTTGCTTGCAGAAGGAGAGAGGGAGGGAGGCTTTCAATTTCCCGCGACAAAACGCAGCTCATCAATGTGAAAAACACCACCTCTCTCTAATTGCTATTCATGCCCTTCCCACTTCTGCTACCCATCCATCTTCATTGCACACTCATTTTTCTTTATGGGAATATCTCCTTTACATTAAGTTATTTATTTGTTTAATTATTTATTTTCCTTTTTCATGTGCTGAAGATCTGAGTTCACAATTTCATGTGATGTTCTGAGCTGAAAAGCTTTAATTTGTCCTGATTGTCGATGCTCCCATAAAGGGGTTCTTTTTAAAATCCGGATCATTACTCTATTGTTTATGGACATAAATAGATGATGTAATACTTTAAATGATGTCTTCTTTTAGCTAAATCAAGATTCATCCTTGAAAAAGTCAAGGAACAAATAAGGAGTGTTGACTGCTTGCTTGACTCTATAGCTGATCGTTTCCTAACTTTTGATGACTTCTTTGGATTTCGCTTTTGTGATTTCCCCTTTTTCAGGACTTGACTGATGAATAAATATTGATAAAAAAAACTTCTGAATCAAGTGGACGATATATTTTTTAAACTTCTATCTACTCCAGCTCCATATAGCTCCACACAATTCTGATGGATTTCATCATGCTCCTCGGTAGAAGTAGACAACTCTCAAAAATATATATTTCATCTTATCTCCTGCTGTTTTGTTGTTTTACTGTGGTTTAGGCATCACATCTGTTTCAGTAAAATTAAATCTATAGACACAACGTTTTTAAATGTACCCCAAATAATGTTTAATTGTGTTGCATGTTCTTGATGTCTTGATGATAATATACTTACTATTGCTGTGACACTGAAAAATCTTACTTTTTATTTCTGACTCTCCTTATGTTATAGCCTTATAGGATATCACCTGCTTCTTCAAAGACATATTAGAGGAAAGACATACTATCATGGCCTCAAAGCATGCCCCTCCAAGTAATAAAGGGCGACGGTCATTCTCAACATTTATTGTACTCGGTCTATGTTGCCTCTTTTACCTGCTTGGAGTGTGGCAGAATAGTGGGTCTGGAAAGGGAGACAGGTTAGCAGTAGCGGTTACGGAACAAACCGAAAACTGCAACATATTCCCTCCTTCCAATCTTGATTTTGAACCACACCATACTTTTGTTTCAAAAATTGACACTTCTGAACCAGCGATCAAACCATACAAAATTTGTGATGCTAAATATAGAGACTATACTCCTTGCCAAGAACAAGATCGAGCTATGACTTTCCCTCGGGAAAACATGATATACAGAGAAAGGCATTGTCCGCCGGATAAGGAAAAGCTTCGTTGTCTTATTCCTGCACCGAACGGATATACGACCCCGTTCCCCTGGCCAAAAAGCCGTGATTATGTATATTATGCTAATGTCCCTTACAAACATTTAACGGTTGAGAAGGCGGTCCAAAACTGGGTCCAGTTTCAGGGTAATGTGTTCAAGTTTCCAGGAGGAGGAACGATGTTTCCTAAAGGAGCTGATGCATATATCAATGAGCTTGCATCTGTAATCCCGATGGCGAACGGGTCCATAAGAACAGCGCTTGATACTGGTTGCGGCGTGAGTCTTCTATTCTTTTAGCGTTGAAAGCACATTTGCTGAACATTTTGAATCATGCCCTTACCTAGAGCTTTGCTAGTCTGTTTCGTATTATTTTCTTATCGTCAGAATAAGAGCTTGTTTGGGAACCTTTCAGCTGTTTTTGAAAAGGAAAATGCCATTTGTACACGTTTTTAGTACATGCCCCCGTACATTTTGTCGGAATCACAAGCAATTCATCTAAAAGAAATGCAGGGATTTTGGAAATTTTGTACTAAATGTCTGTGGGAACACTATGTACCAAATGTGCACACCAAGCATGACTGTTTTGAAAATCTTATAATGCTTGGGAGTTGGGAACACTTTATTGAGGAAAACGTTTTTCATAAGTTTCAGCTGTTTCTGGGAAGATGTAAATTTATAACTTATGGTTTTATTGTAATAGCTAAAATCTTTCTTTAATCTGTTTTCATATCAATGCACTTTGTAAAAGCATTTGTTTTGTTCATACTAGCGAAATTAATTATTCATTCTAGTTTTCAGTAAACTTTACCCAAACAAAAATCTCATTATAACTGATTATACATATAACCTATTATTGAAATAATATAGTTTCCTATCCCTTCCAGAAACACTCTTAAGTCTTAAGTAGCTTTTGACTTATTTGGCTGAAACTGAATTTACCAAAACCTTATCCTTTCTTAAAATTAAACATATCCAATCAATTCCAGCGGAATTACCCTTATTACACGGGGCTTTATTGTTTTATCCTACCAGTGTATTTTCATAATGTTGTTTTCATGTCATGTTTAGGTGGCTAGCTTCGGTGCATATCTGCTGAAGAGAAATATATTAGCAATGTCGTTTGCACCGAAAGACAACCGCGCTTCATAATGTTGTTTTCATGTCATGTTTAGGTGGCTAGCTTCGGTGCGTATCTGCTGAAGAGAAATATATTAGCAATGTCGTTTGCACCGAAAGACAACCACGAAGCACAGGTTCAATTTGCACTAGAGCGTGGTGTGCCAGCTGTTATTGGTGTTCTTGGCTCAATACGACTTCCATACCCTTCAAGAGCATTTGATATGGCACATTGCTCTCGTTGCCTCATACCCTGGGCAGAAAATGGTATTTTTTATTGGCTTTATTAATGCGTGTTGATGTTTCAATAACATAGTTTTTAAATGTCAAACTTAGTGGCAACAGCTTGAGGTCTATGAAATTATAAAAACGATGAAAAGTTAAACATATAATGGTTGAAATCGTGAAGTCCTTGTGCTGAATAATGACCATATGGATTTTGTTTTTAGATGGTATGTATCTGAAGGAAATTGATAGAGTACTAAGACCTGGTGGGTATTGGGTTCTTTCTGGCCCTCCAATTAACTGGAAGACCTACTTCAAAATCTGGAAAAGGTCCAAGGAGGATGTTAAGGCTGAACAATTGAGAATTGAAGAGATTGCCAAGCTTCTTTGCTGGGAAAAGAAGTACGAAAAAGGCGATATTGCAATTTGGAGGAAGAAAGTCAATTCAAACTCTTGCATGAGGAAGTCTACCAATATATGCAAATCCAAAGATAGTGATGGCATTTGGTAAGACAATGTGGTTATATTTTTTGAGACATATAGGATTTGAAGCTTCTATTTATGTCATTCATTTTTTATGCCATTCATTCTAAATAGGAGTATATGAGATGGTGATTAATTAGCAATACCAAAATGTTGCATTCAGATCTTTGGATGTTGTTGTGGTACGAGGCATAATCCTGAGAAAATAAAAAGCGGAGCAAACAGTGCTTCTTTTAATGATTAATGAAGTCCTGTTTTTTATTTGTAAGCGGTTTCATTTCACTTGCTGTTTTAATTAAACAGTATTTGAGTTGAAGTAGGAATTGTAATTTTGTAAAGGAAAGTGTTTGTTAAATCCATTTCAGCTTAACGAAATTCATCAAAATAGGAGTAAAATATGGGAAAATGTAAACTTAAGGTTCAGTATTTTATTCCGAAAATATGACTTGTTTAGACCCATTAATAGTATATAACAATAAATCTTGCCAAAAATAGGAATGAATGAGTCATATTTTGAAAATAAAACAGTCCTACTCCTATGGTAGCCGACCCCAAAAGAGTTTGGGGTCGGCTACCATGAATCGACATATGAAATCCGAGTAAAAAAGAAAAATATAAGATAAATAGAAAGATAAAAAAGATTAAAAAAGATAAGATAAAGATGAAGATGTTTTTTGAATGTAATTTAAAGATAAAGATAAAAAAAGATAAATAAAAAGGATAACAAGATAAAGAAAATACAAAAGATAAAAAAGGATGAAATGAGATCAATCATTCACCCAAATATTCTGCCTCCACTTCGCTCTTTATGAATTTTTACTCCCATCCAACCCAAGAAGTAGCATATCACTTCTTACTGCTCTAGTCCATGTCTATTTGAGTCCTTCTCCCCCTCTCCTCCTCGCCTCTTCTCTCCACCTCTCAACTCGTTTAACAAGTGCATCCAAGGTAGTCAAAGTTGTGAGGCGCACTTAAGGTGCTAGAGTACTTCTATCGCCTGAGGCGCAAGGCGTAAAAAAGCACTCGCCTAACTCAAGTCAAACACACTATTTAGAAAATATTATGTATGCTATTCTAGAGTGATCAAATATGACATATTCAACATCATACTGAACTGAATGCATTAAAAAGCCATGTTTCTCAAAACTAAAGTCACGATTTACCAAAATAAAGCCTCGGTTCAAAAAAACAAAACACCAAGTGAGGTCTATCTTTGCTGATTCCGCAGTTTTAGCATTAGGTGTAGCATAACTTATACTTCTTTTGTTCTTTACAAGTTGCAACATTAGGTTTTTTCACTATTCACACATCTTACTTTGACCACGATTTTCTACTAATATATATAATCAAATTATTATGTATAAAATGTTATTAAATTTCTATTTATGTGAATTTCCAAAATATTAACTTTTTATACTACCTCCGTCCCCCTGTTATGCTTGGCCGACGATAAAGCAAACAGATCCCTGTCTGCACTCAAATTATTTTTAGAAAAAACAAATTACATATTCAGAAACTACATTAAAAGCTTTACAAAGTCGCAAAAACCAGAATCGAATTTGATAAAAAATTGATACATAAAGTAAGAGATTAAAAGTGATTTGTGTTGACCAAGTGAATAGGAAATGGGACAATAACAGAGGGGCGGAGGGAGTAATGTTTACTAATACGTAATTAAATATAATTACAGTCAAAGTTGTGCATTGGCAAACATGAAAGTTTGCCGAATGTGAGCCGATTCTTGGTGTACTCCGATAGTAATAGGGAACTTTGCAGTCCTCCCTACACTAGTACGGACACTTGTAGTACAATTCTCCTACATATCCATGATGATGTTTATATACTTATGTGATATGCCTTTTCTAGTTAAGATCCACCAAAAGACTTCTTAAGGTACCCTATCATACAGCTTTTCTAAGTCAATGGACACTAAATGCAAATCCTTGTTAGTGTCTCTATACTTCTCTACAAGTTTCCTAAGAAGGTGAATAGTCTTAGTTGTAGAGTGACTCGACATATCACCGAATTGATTCTCCAAAATCTTCACACTCTCTTTGAATGGCTTCTCACTGATCTGTCGTTAGGTAACACATAACACTATGAATTAATGTAAAAAGGCATATTGGCACAATCTTATGGTAGACTACCCTTCCAAGTTCCTATAGCAACCTTCTTAGGAATGAATCTTGTATTGATTATGTGAGTTGCAATTTAATATTCTATTTCTTTCACTTGTAAAATGATACATAAGGTATACGAAAATGGAAGCATGCATAAGTCCCCTTCCTGTGGTTCAAAGTTCTGATGAAGTGGCTGGTGGGGAATTAAAGAAGTTTCCAGCTAGACTCTTTGCCATTCCACCCAGAATCACCAACGGGTTGTTGCCCAGAGTAACAATTGAATCATATAAAGAGGACAATAAATTATGGAAGAAACATGTAAATGCCTACAAAAGGATTGTGAGCCTGCTTGGAAGCACTAAATATCATAATATAATGGATATGAATAGTGGGCTTGGAGGCTTTGCCGCAGCACTTGAATCGCCTAAACTGTGGGTGATGAATGTGGTTCCGACTATTGGTGAAGACACTCTAGGTGTCATCTATGAGAGAGGGTTGATTGGCATATATCATGATTGGTACGTAATTCCTTGAAACTCTTGTTTCTGCTCTGATTTGATTCTTCAGTTTTGTTTGAGTAGGTGTGAAATGACTTTCTGCTTCAATTTGTCCAGATTGTTGTGGTATAAGAAAATTATGTCAATGGCCACTGACTCCTAGAGTATCCAAGGTTTGAAATTGCGTATTGCGTAGTCGTGTCATTTTTTAGGATTGCATATTGCATAGTTGTGACATTTTTTAGGATTGCATATTAGGTAAGCTCATTGCGCATCTGAGGCGTAAAAATTTGTATATATATATGCATAAATATAAACAGAATAAAAGCTGAAAAAAATTAATATTAACACAAATTTAAAAGAAAATAAGATAATGCATGGATCAAGCTAGAACAAAATCTTTCGCATTAAACATGTGCAAACATATCATTATTCAAGACTAGATTTTTCACCCGTGCTTCGCACGGGATGCAATTAGTAAGCAAAAATCATTTGCGAATATATAGAAATAATGTCATTAAGATAGAACAACGAATATACTATTTTTAACAAAGTGAAGATTAAAAAAAATTCAAAATATTATATACTTGTAAAAAACATTTAAGTCTTCTTGGTCGCTTTTCCGTTATCATCACATACAATAAATTTCGATCTTCGATCCACACAATGACGTAATTGTGTGGATCGTAATTGTTGAATTTTATGAAATGTAGAAATATTAATATGAATGCATTAAATACAGACTTTTTATATAACAACTTAAATTATGTTAGATGCTATAATAAATTGTGATAAAGCTATATAAAATTATTTTCTTGGTTGGTGTCACATTACTGCCACATATAATAATATATTTGGTCATTCAGTTAATTACCCATTATTAAGTATAACAGAAAGTAAAATCATGAAGTATTGCCAAAATAACAATTATTTGTGAGGCTAAGCCTTTCCTCACTGCAAATTTTATAAGCACACTCAGTGTATAATGTGTGGTATCCTTTTTAGTTCTGAAGTGAAAACTTGTCCTTTTATATAGCTATTGACCAAATGTGACCAAGTTTATATAGAATGCCATCTCAGACGTCTTTGGTCAATATCGACTTGTTTCCGGGGTCATCCTGTTATACACGACATTGAATTTTTTTAAATACTTGTATTCTCATTCAATGATATTAGCCCACCGATTTGAACTACATGACATATTTGTCATAAAGAAATAGACTTCCGTTCACCTTCCACAAAAGACTCACTAAAATAATCACAAACGTCTTTGTAAAATATCGCCTTCGTTGTGTGATCCTTTAGAGATAATATTCTTTCAAGAATCTACTTGTTCTAAAAGGAACATATCCACCCATAGCTCCAAGTTGGCATCTGAAGTGTTAATGTACCTGATGACATGAATTAGACACATCAAAGTCTCAACATTTCACACCTACTACAACAGCCTCATGTAAATTAAAGAAAAAATTGAAGAGTCTTTCATACTACATATATACTTATATTGCATCCAAAAATTAGAAAAAAATGAAGGGATAAAGAGTAAGGGTGCACAAACTTGAAGCTAAACAAATTTTAATGCTTTAAGATTTGTGAATTTAAAATTCATGGAGACACATTTTACGTGCAATTTTAAGTGGTTAGAAATAGTATGAAATAGTATTTTATTTTTTAAGTGGTTAGAAATAGTATACCTTAACTGAAATCATCCTGTAAAAAGAGATTAAGTATGAGTTTAATCTCAGTCTATCCATGTCTTCACATAAACACTCTCTTGAATTGCAAATAACCTATAATCTTTGCAAAAGCTCTAATAATATCAATCACAATCTTATTGAATTCATGCAAAATATAAAGGAAGCTAAATAGCTTAAATAAATCTGCTGCTACACCAGAGGTAATAAGAGCAATGTCCCTCTATCTCTGCCTTTTAATGGTGTGATTCTTATGTAAAAACTTGCCAACATGAACTCTTGTCGTGAGCTATGTATAGCAACCACCAAATACTTTTTAAAACTTTAGAGAGTATAGTAAGACACACAAATTAAATCATCCTAAATGTAAAAGACATGTAGCAGGAGAGTTTCTTAACATCATGGCAGTGTTAAGGCCGCACCCAACACCCAAGCCCTTCACTACTTACGGTTTTTCACCTTGAGATAGAAAAAGTAAGTATTAGTGCTTGAAGAGTATCTATTGAAAAGGAACCACATTTTCTTAGCTCCAAAACTGGAATTTAAAATAAAATCCATAATATAGTCTTGTTAATATTATACTCGGCCAAGAGATACTTCTTAGTAAGAATCTTGTAACAAAAAAAATTAGTCAATGCCTCAAAGATATATATAATCTGAATCAATCAGAGAACTTAAAATAAAGAAATTACCTTGCATTAGATAGGGAATATGTGAACATACTACTACTCAAGTAAGGGATCTTTATTAATATGAAATGACACTAACAAAATATAAATAGAATGAAAAAATGACAACGTAAAAGGGAAACGAAGAGAGAGAAATTTCACAAATTATGTTCCAATCACACTTTCATATTATTGCTAATTTTTTAAATCCGGGTTTCAATCACATATAATAGGGGAAATTAACTATCTTTTCCTACATATACGTCTGTTTCCATTTCATTATGAGATGCAAATATAATTTTGGATCAAACAATACAGAGTTATAAGTAAAAATATTTACTTCTTTGTTGTTTTAAGTCTAAATATTAAACTCTTGATTTGCATATATATATATCAGCTTCTTTTAGTTATGAATAGGCAGAAAAGTTACATAGACTTTCAGATTTAAAAAACAAACACAGCAAAATAGAATGACTACTCTGAAGTCTGAACTATTATTGAAAGATTCAACCCCGAGAGATTTCTAAACAAACAACACATTATAAGCAAAAAACAGAAAGTCAAACGCACCTTCCAAACTACTCCTACTGTAACAACACAATCTAGAGTTTAACTGAAAAACTATTTTTTCTGATTCATACTATCAACTGCAAATACATTAACCCCAACTCTGGTACACTGGAAAGGAGAGGAACTGAAAAGCCAATTGAGGTTCTTGGAGCATAAAATTCATATAATCGTATATCAAGCAACACAACCTCTTTTCTAAAAAATATCATATAATTGATTACTTCAACTCTTCATTGATACCTAGACCTGAAACTAAAAAAGAGAACGTAGCAAATATCTAAACTTTATTCTTCACAAATATCGAGTTTAGACGTAAATGCATGTGTCTAAATTGAGTCTTCAAAGAGCGCATTCAATCAATTACCCAGAATGATCTATTTGTGCTGATTGGATAAGTATGTCACCGGACAAAGATGGTAGGCCTTTACAGAAACCTAATGAAGGTCTAGGAAAGGGACTTTAAATAAACAACAGGCCTTTAAGATGTCCTATTACCGGGTGAAAACTGCCCATCAAGATTTAACCCCAAGAGATTTCTAAACAAAAAGCACAACATAAGCAAAAAACAGAAAGTCAAAAAAACACCTTCTAAACAACTCCTACTGTCCAACAACAAAATCTAGAGTTTGACTTAAAAACTATATTTTCTGAATCATATTATCAACTGCAAAAACATTAACCCAAACTCCGGTGCACTGAAAATGAGAGCAACTTGAAATTTGAATGCACTCTTTGAAGTTTCAATTTACACATATATCACCTGTTAACTATTCAATTGTGCTTCTGTTTGAAATCTGAATGCACTCTAAAATAATTTCGATATACTCATATCCAGTTACATACATATCCAATAAAAAAAGATAACTTTTTCAAGGGTATTACTACTTAGCAATCTTAAACAATCAAAAAGTTGATCGAATCATTAAGAATAGTAGATGGTAGAATCATAGAACAATTGTAAATTGAGAATATAGAATTAAAAAAATGAATTAATTAAGTCAATAAGATTAATTAATTGATTAATTAACTAATTAATTAATTAATTAATTAAAAATACGATCAGTTCATGGCTGTGACTAAACTGGCCAGGAGAAGCGGAACCTCATCGAGGAAGCATTGGAAAAGGAGGCGACATCGTACCTTATAGACGGCGAAGTGGACAGACATGGCTGGAACGGACGTGGCGTCGGCAGATGGTGAGCGACGGCGCTGAGATGGGTCAGGCGGGTGGGAAGATGAGGTCGTCTTCTTCCTCTGCTATTTCTCCCAATTCCTCTGCAATTCTGCCTTGGCACTTCATCGATTGATTGGTTCCCTTGAGATGGAGGGATAAAGCTCAGGGGAGATATGAGGAGGGGATTATCAAGATATGGGAAGGAGATTTTCTGATGCAAAGTGATTTGAGAAAGGGAAAGAAACAGAAAGTCGTAGATGTAATTGCAATCGATCGTACGGCTGAAATGGCCTGAAAATGCTTGAGCGGGAAAATGCTTACAGCCAAAGTAGTGCAATTATGTAGAATGATTATTTAAAGGGGATATATATAATACGGGTCATACTATATCTCTACTAAAAAGTAAAAACTAAAGAAACCTTAGTTGCATCGAGTAGCCTGAAACTGACTTAGTTGCGTCGAGAAAACTAGAAGAGGAAGGAAGAGGAAGAATTCAGTACCGTAGAAGAGACTAAATCGCTGGCAGGTCTTTCGCAACAGATGAAGAAGGCCTAAGAAAGTAAGAAATTGAATCGCTGCCAGGCATATTGCATACGCCTTGATAGAATGGCATACGCCTCTGCGTATGCCATAAGCCCATAACCCCTTCCACAATAAGCAATGCAATCTTATGCCCCACTCCAGGAAATTTGTGAGACGCGCCTCAAGGCGGTATTGCATTGTGCAATTACAAACCATGAGGGTATTTTAGTATCTCCGGGAGACTGGGAAATACGTATATGGAAAGAATCACTTGAAAGTTAATTTTTAAGGTGTGTTCATTTTTCGTTCGAAGTGCCAAGGAAAATGAAATATGACAGCCTTCATATAATTGAACTTAATCAAATGTGTTCGAATACTTCATTTTCATTTTCGTTTACCCCAGTGCCGCAAAGGCTCCCACCTACGGTGGGGTAAGGGGGGTCGGATGTACGCAGTCTTACCCCTGTATTAAAGCACAGAGAGACTGTTTCCGGATGACCCATAGTGAAAATCGCGTCCAAAATTGCATAGACTGACTGATGCTTCATAACAAAGAAGCGCAGACAGTTTAGTGAGCCATTTTGCTTTATTCCATCATATTCTCAAGCCAAAAAATAATGAATCTTTGGCTCCATTGCAAATGATGGAAAGTGTGTTCGAATACTTACTTTAAATAAATTCATTTAGTTTGATGCTATTTTGTTTTCCCACAATTGTTCATTGCTTCCAATTATTTTCTCTTTTTTCCTCCCTACTTTCATTCCTGTTCTGAATGTATCCCTAATGGTAAAGGAAAATCATCACAAGTGTTCAAAATGACTTCCCCTTTGTGGTAGGAAGTCATTTTCGGATGGATCTTTTTTACTAACAATCACAATTTTACGAGTGGGTCACCAACATCGTCCGCGGATTCCCACCCCACCACTACATACCGCATAACAGTTTTCTAGTGTACTGCCAAGCACAAGAAAGTGAGTCTTTTTTTATTAAAAAAATCCTTCATTTCAAATGGACCCTAGTGATTTGTACTGTGATCGCTTGCAAAGTCTGTTGTCTAACGGTCCAACCTATCCCTTCACCCCAAACAATTTTTTTACAGGCAGCTAAAGGGTCAACTATGGGTTATCCGGAAACAGTCTCTCCATGCTTTAGTACAGGGGTAAGACTGCGTACATCCGACCCCCCTTACCCCACCATAGGTGGGAGCCTTTGCGGCACTGGGGTAATGATGATGATGATGCAGCTAAAGGGTCAAATATTGAACTCTGCAGGCCTGCACTCATCTAAATTGTTCGATTGACCCCATCAACCACAAAATGCTCCAATCAAAGCCATCATTGCTTCCAAATAGTTCATTTGACTGGTTTGAAACCTGCTGCTTTCCTTCTCACAAAAGGTAAATACGAACAAGGCATATGTTCAGTTTTCAAAATTTTAATATATGCGGGGCCACAACATAATCTTTTTCGTTAAAGTTCTAACCCTAGTTCCCTTCATGATCATCTTCTTTCGTGGAATTCAAAGTCAGATTTATTGTACGGATTGGCCAACTTAAGGATGGCAAGTACCCATACCTTTTTTATTATTTATAAAGGTTTTGACCTCTCATCTGATCTCCTCACCATGGAATCTACTACTCAAGCAGAAACTTAAATATAAAAAATGAACTTTTCAGATATTTAAGTAAAAAATTAAAATGATTTAAATATGTTTCTCGATTGGGAGAGCGGTGAAGGGGAAAACTGTAGCCGTCTCCCCTCTCTTCCCTTCCCCTCAACCTTCTTTCTTCTCCTAAATACAATAAACATCTCCTTAGCCAGCATTATCAAGTTGTTTTATATGTTTCTTTCCTAGCAATGTCTAGAATTTTTGTACTCCTTGTTAGTGGAATGGACTGATGGTGGAACTTTGTTATTGATGGTTGGCAATGCCTGTCGTGCTTGATTTTTTTGGGAGGTTGATTTCGGGCATCAACAAAGCCTAGACCTCAGTAATTTGCCCCATCATGAACAACCGTCATGCTTTGAGAAAAAGATAGCACTCGATTGGAACATCTTTTCAATGGCTAGTCAAACCGATGATTTTGGCAATTTCTTCCCGGTAGTTGGTCAAACTGAAGTTTCTAGTTGTTTCGTTCTGGTAGCTGGACATCCCGAATTTTCTATTATTTCCTTGTCGTGGATGGTGGAACCGATTTATATGTTTGTTTTCTATCCCAGAGTAGTTTTACTACTTTTTATAGTCTTGATTATTGGTTTAATAGGAGCTTCTATGTTGATAGAGGAGTCTATATCTTTGAGGGGTTAGCGAATTGTTATGTTCCTTTGAAACTTTTTAGTTTTATGTTCATCCCATTGTAGTCTTAGGCTATCCAAATTGTTTTTGTATTGATCATTTTTATCATCAATAGTTAAGTTGTTTATTGTTAAGACTCGGGGTTCAATTCTAAAAGGTGGAGTAACCCAAAGCCTTATATAGTGTTTTCTCATTTTAAAGCTTTCCGGTGTGGGACAAATACTTTAACACGCCCCCTAAGTCCGAACTGGGCTAAACAATATCAAGGTGTATAAATGGGTCAAACAGACCCTTAACAAGCTACCCATAATCATGGGTGCTAAAATGCTAAACAAGCAGTCAAACCACATCCGGAATTGGCTTTGATACCATGTTAAGACCCAGGGTTCCATCTTAAAATGTCCCACACTGGAATGCTATAAAATAATAAAATACTATATAAGGATTTGGGCTAATCCTCCTATCAGGTTGACCTTTTAGGATGGAACCCCAAGTCTTAACATGGTATCAGAGTCAATTTCGGTTGTGGTTTGACAGCTTGTTTAGCACCCATGATTACGGGTAGCTTGTTAAGGGTTTGTTTGGCCCGTTTATACACCCCGATATTGTCCAGTCCGGTTCGGGCTGAGGAGGCGTGTTAAAGCATTTGTTCCACACCAGAAAGCTATAAAACAATTAAACATTATATAAGACTTTGGGTTACTCCTCCTATTGGGTTGACCTTTTAGGATGGAACCCCAAGTCTTAACATGATATCAGAGCCAATTCGGTTGTGGTTTGACTGCTGTTTAGCACCACGATTATGAGTAGCTTGTTAAGGGTCTGTTTGTCCCATTTTTACACCCCGATATTGTCCCGCCCGATTCGGGCTGAGGGGACGTGTTAAAGTATTTGTCCCACATCGGAAAGCTATAAAACACTATATAAGGCTTTGGGCTACTCCTCCTATAAGGTTGCCCTTTTAGGATGGAACTTCAGGTCTTAACATTTATTTTTAAAAAAAGTTAGAAATGAAAATATTAAATAAGTAAAAAAACTATTAAGACTTTGGTTGAGGGAGTGAATTGAGCAATATGAATGAGTATTGGGAACCTTTTTGACCCTTAAGCCTTTTTCAGGCTGTCTTTTTCTTGCCAGTGTTGCTACTAATGTTTGTGAATTAGCTGAAGTTGACAAACATATCAGTGCCGATCTGTTCATTGTTTTTCTGCTTTCCTGTTATTGTTTTTGGAGAACGCATTAATCAATGTTTAAAATTGAATATCTGGTTCTCTACAGGTGTGAAGGATTCTCCACTTACCCGAGGACATATGACCTCATTCATGCCAGTGGCGTATTCACCATGTACCAAGACAAGTAAGACTCTTGTGAGTTTAATATATCTCTGTTGTGAATGTTTGGCAATTGATTGGTTTCTTCTTCAAACATTTTCTTGTTTAAAAAATGACAAGGATGGCAAATTTATCCTAATTTAACCAGAAACTTTATTATTGAATCAAAGTGTAAGGATTCACATTGTTCTATATTTAGCCCTGCTTTTAAAAATATCCTAAACTTGCTTTAACACTTTGTGGTTAGCTGATAGGGATCTACCTTTTAGATTAATAATAGATAATAATTCTAATATGAATACTAGAAGAATAGATACTGTTTAGTGGGCCTGGTAGTTTTGGGCCTATTATTATAAAGAATACTAAGAGGGCTTATACTATAAATAGAAAAGGAGAGGAAGGCATAAGGTAGGCTTTTAGACATTTGGTCTTGGGACTGGGAAGGATACGAGACTGAACATCTCGATCTTTTGGGGCTTCGGCCTTGTTCATTGTTCCTTTTCTGTAATCGATATCTTCTTGAATAAAATTCTTCATCTGATTTCTTGTTACTCTTCTTGTAACTGTTCTGGAATCTGGAGGTATCTATCATTGGCATCAGAGCAAAACGATCTTGTTACCTGTAGGAATGATGGAAAATTGGGAGCGCAATTTAGAGAAGATGAACGAAGATACCAGACGGATTTGTGAAGAGAGGCGCAAATTAAGCTTGCAAAGAAACAATCGGCGTTCTGATAAACCATCGCCGTCGCTCAACAAGTCGCAGAAGCAATCGCTGAGAGAATCGCGAACTGGTTCGCACTCGCAAAAGGCTTCACGCGAAAAAATTGAGAAAGAGAAGCGCGATAAAATGGAGAAAGAGAAGCGCGAAAAAATGGAGAAAGAGAAGCGCAAAAAGATGGAGAAAGAGAAGCGCGAAAAAGTGGAGAAAAAGAAGAGTGAAAAAGTGGAGAAAAAGAAGAGCGAAAAAGTGGAGAAGGAAAAGCCTTCAAACCTGGAGAAGGGGAAGCCCAAGTTGAGGCAACATCGTAGGCGAGGAAGGTCGAGGAAGGTACGTCGCTGCGTGAATTCGAAAAGCAAAGGTCCATCTAATTCGCAAGATATTTCCTTCAGTCCTTTGGCTTTGACCGAAGCAGAAGTTCCTACTTCGCAGGTTTCTTCACTCACCATATCTCACATCTCATCATCGTTTATACCTTCAGGTAAGGGGACAGACTTTGAAGAGGAGGTTAATCAACCTAAGGAAATGTCATCAATTGTTCACCCTGCTCAAGATTTTCCCCAGACTATAAAGAATATCGTGCTGAAGCCAGCTGAATCTGCAATCAAGAAAACAAATGAGGATAAAATCAAGGAACAATCTGAAATTGCTGGTGTATTAAAGTCTGAAATGGTTCTTCAGGTATGCAATGTTTCTTATCATCTTGCACAGAAGTGGAATTGGCCAAATATCTTCAAGATTGAAAGGATGTGTTGTCCTTCTTTAAACACTGACTTTGGAAGGAATGAAGTCACTTAACAAGTTTGATAGTTTAAGATGTGAGGGTTTTATTTTTATAAAGTATATTCTAAATGCGTTGGGGGTAGGAGTGACTCCAAATTGGAAAGGAAATGAGGATTATACTACTGATGATAAGGTTGACCAGTTTCTGTTGCCTAAAAATGAAAACAGTCCTGCTATCTTTCAAGAGGCATGGATTATTCTTCAAAAACTAAGGAGTACACCAATAACTTGTAGTCCTGTTCAAAAAGGATGTGAAGATTTGAATTATAGACTTCAGATGGCAATTGCTGTTCATGGGATCAAGATATTCAGGACTTCAGAGAGGGATTGGGAAATAGTTGACAGTCATGACCAAACCATTAGGGGTGAAGGTGTTGTACTATTCCGGGGCAACTTAGCAAGAATAAAGGGGATGACAGTGGATAAAATCAGTGTGGCCCTTGATCCTACTACCCAGGCTAATGTTAATGGATTGGAAGCTGAGGCAACTGGACAGGTGAAACTGAAACAAGGCTTGAAAAGTGCAATGTTTTCTTCTGACGAAGAATATGTCTACATTCAAGAAAACCAACTTTGGAAGTTTTACATGGATAATAGGAGTTCCTGTTCCTTAGTTAGGAGAACTGCAACTGGAATAAGGGGTATCCTTACTTACCTGCCAAAACCTTTGAGGCTTTCCTTCTCAAATAAGGTAAGCAAAGAATTAAAAGAGGAAAAGGTTGAAAGATGCATAAAGGAGTTTGAATTCAGCACAGTAATAGTTTCAGAACATAGAAATCATGAAGGGAAGCAGAAAAGTGAAGTAATAATTTTGGATATGGAGTGGGGAGAGATGACTGAACCAATTGGAGATTCATTTTCTGTTGCTGAAAGTTCTGTGATTTCAAAAGATCTCGTACTGAAGTCCCTAGTCCATCAAACAGTTAGATATTGGGAAGGGAGAGGAACCAGGAAGAGGAAGATGAAGCAGAAGATTTTGGCTTTCTCCTATTACCCACCTTGAGGACAAGGTGGATGTTTTGGGGGGAAGTATTGATAGGGATCTACCTTTTAGATTAATAATAGATAATAATTCTAATATGAATACTAGAAGAATAGATACTGTTTAGTGGGCCTGGTAGTTTTGGGCCTATTATTATAAAGAATACTAAGAGGGCTTATACTATAAATAGAAAAGGAGAGGAAGGCATAAGGTAGGCTTTTAGACATTTGGTCTTGGGACTGGGAAGGATACGAGACTGAACATCTCGATCTTTTGGGGCTTCGGCTTTGGGGGCTTCGGCCTTGTTCATTGTTCCTTTTCTGTAATCGATATCTTCTTGAATAAAATTCTTCATCTGATTTCTTGTTACTCTTCTTGTAACTGTTCTGGAATCTGGAGGTATCTATCATTGGTATCAGAGTTTTATGTTCGAATTCATCCAACTCAAGGTGAGCTCACGTAGCGTGATAGAAAAAAATCTGAAACTTAAGTGATCTGTCAAAAGTCATCCGCAGACCAATTCACAATTCCACACACCATGTGGTTGGCCTTGTGGAAGTTAAATAACACAAGTGCGCATCCACACATTGTCTGTCTAGCTGTGTGGATGAGGCAGATCTTCTGGAAAATGCGCATCCACAAATCTGTCACACTGTCGTGGATTGGCTTGTACTCATACATGACCAAATGAACTAGCATGCGACTCCTTATCCGTGCTACTTTTATAACTGGTGAGTAGGTTTGGTGGTATTAAAGAAACACCTTAGATCTCCCCAAGCTATTTTTCATGCAATTATACCCCTAACAGCTTATCCAGATTTATAATGATAGAAAATACTTATTCACACACTATTAACAAGATTATCATACTTTTAGGCCCTCGCTATCAATTACCCTAGATCATGGATAATGCCCCTTCACCAATCCCAATCTCAATCCTAATCCCTCTTCCGAATCGGCATAAACTACTTAACAGTTAATAGACAAGGTTGAATTATTCAATAGAACTTTATTAATTATGAATCCCAGTGTAAAGGTTAGAAGCTGCTTGACTTCTCGCGCCTTCATCTCTCTGTATGGAAAAATATGTAGAATGAATAGATGTCTCAAAAGGTGGTCAAAACATCAAAAGTCAAGGTGTCCTTTTAAAAACTTAAGTCTTCAAAACAGTCATTTACATGTCATGTGGTTGGCTTTGTAGGCGTCACAAATTTCAGGTTACACAGCACACACGCCTGTCAACTCTCTGTGTTTCTTGCTGTGAGGATGGGGAAGATTTCATGAAAAACACCACACTTCCCCACATGTCGTGTGGCAGGCTGTGTGATCCGGAGAGGCTTCAAAGGGGGTAGTCGGTTTTAGAGAGTCATGGACATGGCGCATGTAGATGGCCATATCCCTCGTTTTGGTGATTCTTGACTTGTTTTCGGGTTGATTAATTCTTCTCTGAACCTCCAAGGTCTCTAACTCTCTAAGAGGTTTGTATTGAAATAACCTATAAAAATTACCAAACGAGTGATATGACACAAGACACCCGGTAAAACTGAAACAAGCACAAATCTGTCACAACATGACTAAAAACAAGCTTAAAACATTCTCTAGACCGTTCCCACACGTAAAAGAGTGTAAGAAGTTGGAACTCTGAATTTATAGGCGTCACAAATTTCAGGTTACACAGCACACACGCCTGTCAACTCTCTGTGTTTCTTGCTGTGAGGATGGGGAAGATTTCATGAAAAACACCACACTTCCCCACATGTCGTGTGGCAGGCTGTGTGATCCGGAGAGGCTTCAAAGGGGGTAGTCGGTTTTAGAGAGTCATGGACATGGCGCATGTAGATGGCTATATCCCTCGTTTTGGTGATTCTTGACTTGTTTTCGGGTTGATTAATTCTTCTCTGAAACTCCAAGGTTTCTAAGAGGTTTGTATTGAAATAACCTATAAAAATTACCAAACGAGTGATATGACACAAGACACCCGGTAAAACTGAAACGAGCACAAATCTGTCACAACATGACTAAAAACAAGCTTAAAACATTCTCTAGACCGTTCTCACACGTAAAAAAGTGTTGGAAGTTGGAACTCTGATTTTATCACCTAGGTAATGTGAGACTAGAGGAATATAAGATTATCTAATTTGTTTGGTTGGAACTTGGAATGGCAAACATGTACTATCCACACCTAATTAGAAACTATGAAGACAGTGTGGTTTAGAATTCGTTAGAAGAGAGAATTAAAATGAACTATGCATTGATTTTTAGAAGAGGATATGGATGATACTTTTAGGATAGACGATAAGGAGATTGCGAAGATTGTTTAGAGGCTGACAGAGTAATCTTACTCTGTTAAGAAAATACAAGAATACATGGTTTTGAATACATGTTTCAATGTGAATACAAGAATACAAGAAACTGGATATGGCTAAGGCAATCTTTCAATATACTTATATACCCAAGACAATCAGATTGCTTCTAAGATTACCCCTTGCGTTAGTGTGTTACAAAGTTAAACTATGATTACCAGAACAAACAGCCCTTGGTGTTATCTGCACTGAAATGTTTTTAATAGCAAAATTCTGCACAACAAAAGGGCCGTATTATCTTTTGGTTTCTCCTAGCCCCTAGAGCATTTAAAAAACTAAGTTCTAGGGCCTAAATCCAGAATAAGTAACTTACAGACCTATGTATCTCAATGCAGGTGTAAATTTGAAGATATTATTCTGGAAATTGATCGGATTTTGAGGCCGGAGGGATTGGTCATTTTCCGAGATGGAGTTGAAGTTTTGAACAAGGTTAGGAAAGTTGCTCAGCACATGAGATGGGAAATGAAGTTGACAGATCATGAAGATGGACCATTAGTGCCAGAGAAGATTCTTATTGCTGTCAAGCCATATGATTCAGCTGGTAGCGTTCCTGCCGAAGAGAACAACAAATCAAGCAATGAGTAAAACTTTTTTAGAGAAGATGTAAAGCAAATGATTTTCGTTGCAGGATCAAATTTACAGGACACAAATGTAAGAGTTGTGGAACTGTTAATGTAAAGTTTAGATTTTCGTAATATTTCGAAATTATTATTTAAGTAGGGACTGGATAATTTCATAAGTAGCTACAAATAATGAATAATGTAGCAAGAACAGTAAGTTTATGATACGTGGCTACACTGCTATAGCGGTCTTTTATTCTATAAGGATTCAAATTGTCACTCAAATAGGGTCCACATGCACGCAGTCAAATCATGCATTTTGATATGTGATCACGTAATGCTAAAAAGTAAAAATCAACTGAAATCGCTAATATTCCCTCCGTCCCTGAATTATTTTCAAACTTTCCTTTTCCGTCCGTCCCAAAATTATCTCCTCTTTCTCTTTTTGGCAAAGAATTTGTGGCTCACAACCATTCTTACACATTCTTACACATTTCTCTCTCCTCTGCACAACTCTCCACCACACAAATCCCACTATCTTAATTTGTGTGAAATGTCAAAGGAGGAGATAATATAGGGACGGAGGGAGTAACAGTTAAAAGATAAATTTCAAGGGTCTTTACTCTTTAGTTTGTATTTGTTCTGCTCCAATTTTCTGTTTCTACTTCCCAAACTTTAGTTCATGTCTTTCATTTTTCTGCTGTCTTTGTCTGCTTTCAACTTTTTGTATTATATTTCTCATGCTTTCTGGCTTCAACGTTTTGTTTTTATCAACAGTCACATATATGTTGTACATTTTCTCTAAGGTAATGAACCCATTTTTTGGAAGAATTTGAACCTATAATCAATATATCAAGTGTTTTTTTAAACCATTCCATCCTCACATTATAAACACGCATCAATACTCTCTTCTCTTTAGTTCTTACATCAGTGCTTATATTTTTTCAAAGATTATTGGGCCGCAAAAGGTAGATTAAACACTTTATATACATCTCAATGTTCTCTTCTCTACGGTTCTTACATTAGTTCTTCTGATCTTTCAAGGGTATTTGAGCGTGGGAAAAGGGATGTATTATGCAATCTTAGTAGTCATGGACCCGGTCCGGGCCGCCCGGCCCGGCCCGGTTCTCGGGTCTGGGTCGGGCCTAGGCCCGGTGGGGGGGGGGGGGGGGGGTAGGTCCGGGCTCGGGCCTAATTGATTTTTTTTTTCATTTTTTGGGATACACCCGGGTTGGGCTTGATGGTTAGGAGGGGTTTGGGGGTTTTGGGGGTGGGGGGTGGGTGGGGGGGTGGGGGGGGGGGGTTAGGAAAGCAAAATAAATAAATAACCAAACCGGAGGCCCGTCCCGGCACGGCCCGGACCCGGTGGCTACTCGGGCCGGTCCCGGGCCTTCCTTCCCAAAAAAAAGCCCGGCCGGGCCCGGCCCGGGTCCATGACTAAATCTTAGTTTGTCACTTCCATATCTAGCTTCTTACAGCTAATGTATATTCCGTAGTACTCCCTCCGTCCCGGAAAATTGTTCCCGGTTTCCTTTTTGGGCCGTCCCAAAAAATTGTTCCACTTTCCCCTTCTAGAAAGTTTTTTGTGGCTACAATTAATTTACCTTTTTCTTACTCAACCACAACCATACATTTTCACTTTATTCTCACTTTCTTAAACTCCGTTCCAAGTCAATGCGGGAACAATTTTCCGGGACGGAGGAAGTATATTTTAGCTTTACTTAATATCCAGTATACTCATGTCTTTAGATTCATTCTTGTTATTTTTCTAGAGTATACTACATGTTCTTCTAAACTTTGGCTTTTGATTAATATTATTCATCGAAAATACAGAAGAGTCTGTTTGTTCATCATTTTGTACAAGCACACCCCAAGTAAAGGTCAAGGAGAGCCTACGAAAATCTTCATTTGTATACACTTGAAAGGAAACACTTATTTTGTGACAACCCAAAAAGGAAAGTAGGACAGATAAAATGGTGCGGAGAGAGATAAATTTCTAATAAAACCCTACAAAAAATAGGACTTTTAGGCCTTGTTTGGTTCAAAGGAGGGGAGGGAAGGGGAGAGTCAACGAGGGAAGGAAAGGGGGAAGGACTTTAAAAAAAATTTGTATTTGGTTGGAGGAAATAGGAGAAAATAGAAGGAAAGATTTGATGAAAATATTTTCCCAATTTACCCTTAATTGATAGCTTACTTAAAAAACTAGATACATTTCTAAGTATTGTTAATATTACTCCCAAGGACATGAGTCATATTTTTTTGAATTTTTCTATAATATTTTAATTTTTAATTTTTATTTTAGAATTTTCCATTTTTCAATTTTAGAATTTTTCAAATTTTAAAAATTTCATTTTTTGAATTTTTCAATTTTTTTATTTTATTTTTAATTTTTTTTTACTTTTTTAAACTATAATTTTTTTAATTTTATAATTCTTACATTTTTAATTTTGTAATTTTATTTATTTATTTTATTGCTTTTTAAATTTTGCAAATTTTCATTTTTTTTACTTTTTTAGTTTTAATATTTAAATTTTACAATTTTTTGATTTATCAAATTTTCGATTTTTCAATTTTTCAATTTTCTGATTTTTTATGTTTTCAATGTTTCAATTTTTGATTTTTTTAATTTTTATTTTTTTTTTAATTTTTGAATTTCTTAACTTGTAATTTTTATTTTTTATACTTTTTAAATTTTTCAATTTTTTGTTTTTTTTTAATTTTTTATTTTTTTTAATTTTTAAGTTTTAATGTTTACTTTTTTAACTTTAATTTTTAAATATTTTAACTTTTAAATTTTAAAATTTTTAAATTTTGTAAATTTGCAATTTTGTAATTTCTTTTAAAGTTTTTAATTGTTTAATTTTTTTTTAATTTTTTTTAATATTTTAGTTTCTAATTTTTTAAATTTTTAATTTTTTTTATTTTTAATATTTTTAATATTTTTATTTTTTTAATTTTTTTAATTTTGTAATTTTTAAATTATTTTATTTTTTTAATTTTTTAATTTTTAAATTTTTAAATTTTTAAATTTTTAAATTTTTAAATTTTTAAATTTTTAAATTTTTAAATTTTTAAATTTTTAAATTTTTTAATTTTTTAATTTTTTAATTTTTTAATTTTTTAATTTTTTAATTTTTTAATTTTTTAATTTTTTAATTTTTTAATTTTTTAATTTTTTAATTTTTTAATTTTTTAATTTTTTAATTTTTTAATTTTTTAATTTTTTAATTTTTTAATTTTTTAATTTTTTAATTTTTTAATTTTTTAATTTTTTAATTTTTTAATTTTTTATTTTTTTAATTTTTTAATTTTTTAATTTTTTGATTTTTTAATTTTTTGATTTTTTAGTTTTTTGATTTTTTAATTTTTTTAATATTTTAAATTTTTTTTAGTTTTCTAGTTTTTTTTTATTTTTTACGGAGTAATTTTTTATTTTTAGATTTTTATTTTTTAATTTTTTTTAAATTTTTAATTTTTTAATTTTTTATAATTTTTTATTTTTTAGATTTTTTAATTTTTAAATTTTTAAATTTTTAAGTTTTTTAATTATTTAATTTTTTAATTTTTAATTTTTAAATTTTTAAATTTTTTAATTTTCTATTTTTTTAATTATTTGATTTTTTACTTTTTTATTTTTTAAATTTTTTATTTTTGTACTTTTTTTAGTTTTGAAAATTTTTTAATTTTTTGATTTTTAATTTTATTTTATTATTTTTTAATTTTTTAATTTCAGTTTTTCTAAATTTTTTGAATTTTAAAATTTTAAATTTTTTAAATTTTTAATTTTTTTTAAAGTTTTTTTGATTTTTATTTTTTTATTTTAATTTTTTTAATTTTTTTACTCCCTACGTATTTTAATATTTGCTGCACTTTCATTTAAAAGTTTGTTACACTCCCATTTTTGGTAAGTTTACCTTTTATAAAATACTCAACTGTCCTTATTTTTTTACTTTTATCTTCTTTTTCATACTTTTTCACTCTCTCCTACTTTTTCTAACATTGTTCACTACCTCTACCACTTTACTTCTTAAATAATGTGCCAAACCAAATGTAGTGAACATTAAAATACGGAGGGAGTATTATTTATTTTTTAAATGTTAATTTTTTTATTTTGTATTTTTTATTTTTTCTAATTTTTTAATTTGTAAAGTTTAAATTTTTAAATATTTGAATTTTATAATTTTAAAATTGTTTTTTAATTTTTAATTTTTAATACATTTTTAAATTTTTTTAATTTTATTTTTTAGATTTTTTTTCTTTTTATATTAACGTTTTGTCCATTCACGTAGGAAATGGATAGTTTGTGGTTTAACAAGTTTCCTCCTAAATACCCTGATTTGGGAGGTTGAGAAAGGGAGAAAGTAGATGATTTTGGAAGCTTTCGACTTTCCTTCTCATCTCCTCTATTTTCTTCAACCAAATACACACAAATCACCCACTTCCCATCTCTCCCACCTGAAATCCTCTAACCAAACAGGGCCTTAGTGGTACTATTACCCCCGTCCCACTAACATTGGGACATGAAGAGACTGTGAGAATAATGGATTTGCTTACCAAATTGGTAGTCCCAATGCTCTAAAAGGCGCTACGCGCTAGTCAGGCGCCAGCCCGGCGCCTAGCGCCTAGGCGGCTAGGCGGGCGCCTAGTCGGGGACTAGTCGGAGACATAGAAATTGCATTTTTATGTATATTTTTGCATAAATATGATAAGGAATATTGTATTTTTGTGTGTATAAAATACATATATACATATACATTAACAAACATGAAAGATATATGTCACGCCCCGGACCGCATCCGTGCCACGTAGACAACCGCCGTACAACCCATTAAGAACAACGTAGTTCATTCTTATTGAATCATACAAGGCGTCCATTAAGTTCTATTGCCAAACCGATTAGTAAACCCATACAATCAACATCAATATATATAAGTCAAACAAATGCGGAAAATAAGATATGTTTGATGCTTAGCCACACGTGGCAAGTACGGGCACGCAGACCCCCAAATGTTTTAATAGAAGACATTGTTAAAAATATCCATGAGCAGTTTATCAATGTTTGAAGAAGAATGGAAGCACGAACCACGTCTTCCTCCTCGATCAGTCACCCTAGGCAAAGGTACAGGTAGTAGGACTCTAGCCTTAACCTGAAAAAATGTGAGGGCCCCCGAAGGGGTCAGTACTCCACAGAAGTACTAGTGACAAGCAGGCTATATGAGGAATAACTAATGTTTCAGACACGAGACCCAAAAAATAGGCTGATAAATATAAGTATAGGTGTAACCATTGTTACCCCACCCAC